TTTCTCATACGGAATAATAAATACTGAAATAACCTCCCTGAAATTCAATTCATTGCTTTAAAAAAATAAAAATAAAAAGGAGAGTGGAAGGAAGAATAGTTTCTGTTAAAAAAAAAAAAAAAAAAAGAGATTGGAGATCAGACAGAAACAGGCCAAATCTGAAACCGGCAGCTATTATGCTTTGAAGAATACAACCTGGGAACAGAATTGATGGGGGAGAGAATGTGACAGAGGAGCCACTCTTGGAAACTAAGTCTTATCCTCCACTCCAACAGGAAAGAGTTACCAATTTCCAAGTTTTTCTTCCTCCTTCACCGCAGGGCACTATCAATACCAGAGAAACATTTATTTTGTCACAGATAAAGAACAAGTTTTGATCATCTCCTCAATGCCCAATTTTCCCCCAGATGAGGGAATGAAAGGAAAAAATCTACCATCCTCTGGACCTTGGATGAACAGGAATATGGATTTATAAAATACCTGTCTACATCTAGTCAATAAAACTCATTTTGAAAATGATGCCCACATACACGATTAACTGTCAGCTGCTGATCAGGGCAGGCAAGGCATTCACACACGCATTTCTAGAGGTTTTGTTTTCATTCTCTCTTTCAAAACCCATCTCTTCATTATTTCTCTTTTTATAAATATGCACACACACATGAAACCCTCACAAAATGAGGATTTTTGCAAAACATGATAAAGAGTAAGTTTATGATGGGTGAAATCAAAGACACACAGCAGTCATTCAAGAGCTTCACATTTGCCTCCATCCATTGTAAGGCTTTCCTCCGTTCTACACAGCAATCTGAATTCTATACTGAGGGTCACAGCTTCTCTTTGAATCCCCAGCTTACGTCGCTATGTGTTGCCACCTTGATGCTATTTAGACAATTTTCTTTTAACGTGCAGACAGTGAACTGTTCTCATTTAAACAGGCTTTCATTTGACAAGAGTGCATTCCCTCAGATCTGAAACTCTACCAACCCAACCATGCTACAATTGTATCAAGCACTGCTATAATCAAGCATGTTGTAAATGTGGGCAACACAACGTATATAGACATTTGCACGAAAAAAAAAAAAAAAGCACAGAAAGATTTTCAGGTCATATAGCTCAGAACATTAAAAAGCAAAACTGTTCTCTGCATAACATCTAAGAAAACAGAGCTTTGAATTCTAGCTTGAGAACATAATTATTTTCTGTTTTAAACATTTAATGGCATGCTGCTGCTGTACCCTTGCTGGGTCTCAGAAAGAAAGCTAGGAAACTAAGAGCCCTACTGTATGTTCTTCATTCCCAGCCACGTTCCTATGAGAAAACCTTATTAATGAGCTTGCAAACGAGCACCCAACAGGGAAATGTCACAAACAAGAGCGGCTAATGCCCCAGAAAATCAAATAACTGAACACTTGGCTGATTGTGGTGCCTTTCATATTTATAATAAAAGGGGGGGGGGTTTAATTCACTGATTTTGAAGGGGTCAACACCTTGCTGAACAAAACAACTCATTTATTTATGTTCAGAAATCTCCAGATGATAAATTACATTGATGTTAATCACTTCAATGCATACTACACAATTAATATCTGTACTCACCAAAAACTTAAGGATTATTAAAAGTATGACAGCATACACATCTGGCTGATTTTTCACATAATTGGGCACAACAATTTCTCCTGGTACCACAAATAAGGGTACTAACAAACAAACACTGCAAAATTCTGGTTCAATTAATTAGGACTTAAATTCACAAGACAAAAGCAATTCCAAGTTGCAGCTCAAGCCCGGTTGTCTCCATCCAGAGTACAGCTTTCCTCCGTTCTGCAGAGAAATCTGAATTCTATACTGAGGGTCACAGCTACATAGTATGGAGACACCCACCTTACATGGAGAAGTATACCCCTTTCCTCTCTTATCCTTCCTCTCTTCATTCCTTGTCATACTTGAAGTATTCAATGGCATGCAAGTGGCCACTGTTTCATTTTTCCTTTTAACATTATTTTTTTTAAAAAAGATATAACTTATACAGGATTCAAATCTATCATCTGTCCTTGAACCCTATTCATAACCTGGTTAACACTCATTTGTCTTAGATGGGGTAGAGACATTTCCATAAAAGTTCATTGGCCAAAATAGGCCAGGATTAAACCAACTGAGCATACTTAACAGCATTCAGATCAGGATAAATTGCCCCAAGATGGTCTTATTCACTCAAAGTAGAATCTGAGCCCTTAGGGGGACTCAGTACTTCCTGGTGATAATATCTATCATTGATAGTATAAGCAATCTTTTTAGGTAGCAAGGAAAAGGACATTTAAAAAAAGAAAGTGTGCCTAACAAATATAATTAATACATTTACATACATTATTACATAGGTCTTGGTTAGGTTAAAGCAATAAAATGATGTAAAAAAAAATGGATCTTATAAAGCAGCCCTAATAACTCTGAGGGAGAAATGGACTCTTCAGATTGTAAGCTAAATGTGGTAAATATGTGATCTTATTTACCTTTCCAGATGTACAGCTATAAAAGGAATTTTGAAGTGATCCTAAAAAGGCTGAACTGCAAGCTTCAAGGGTCTGGGTCAATTAAAAATAAGGTGTAATGTTAATCCTCACAAGGTATCCACAATTCAATTTCTATGTAGATTGGCTACTGAACAAATTAGTCTAAGACTCTCGTGCCTTCAGAAATCTACTCTTTCCTCATGACCATCAATATATGGTTCTGCCTGTCTGCAGAGAGGACTGCTATGAGGGACTGGAGTTGGTCCACTGCCCACCACTGGTGAACAACTGGCAGACTGTAGAGCCCAGCAACTGAGTGCTACAGTCACTTGAGGCACACAGCTCTTGTTATTGCATAGCTACTGGTGTTCAAGGAGAGGAAACTTGGTAGGAAATAATGCAGCAACGTGCAATTGTGTTTGAAGACGTGCTTAGGGAATTCCTTTCCAGCTCCAGAAAGTTCTCAGCAGTTCTCTAGGAATAGAGGGTAGTGAAATACCAAGTGACTTTCTTGAGCACTGACAGCCTTATTGAAGATTTCAAGCCAGACCTAAAATTCCCATTTGAATTATACAAAACTTTATAATTCTTAACCATCTTTTACATAAGAGATTTCTCCTTATTTATATTCCAAAATGGAACTTCAAGGATAAATTGTTTGTGTGGCTTATGTTGGATAAAAGACGAGAGAGCTGTCCACAAAATAAATGCCATGTTAGAGTTTGAAATGATCACATCCTCATCTATGGAAGATGTTAAAGTCCCTTCCTGTAGGTAGAAGCCAGGGGCACTTAGTTATATTGAAGTCAAATGGATTCACTTATAGAGCCTTATTACTTTTCTTGGAAGGATGAATCTCTTGAATCTGCAGGATATGGAAGCAAAGGTTTATAAGGATTAGTATCAAGTTTTTCCAAGGTGGAGAAGATATACTGCTTGAAATATTTTTGCATTTGGAGGAGAATAATTTTGTAGGTGGGTGGGGCTACATTTTGTTTAAAAGACACCCTGGGAAACTACTTAAAGAGTTTAGGGGCAGAAACTGGGCGAATATCTACTCAGGACTCACAAAGGAGCTAATGTATTATTAAAGCTAATGGGCCCCTACAAAGAAAGTTAATGGATATTAAGTTTGCTTAAATGAATTACATATTAACAAAGTCACAAGAAATCTACTATCTGCCAATTTAGATAATATCTGATCATTTCTGTTTTCCCATTATAGGGACATTATACCACAATAGTTTTAGTGATATGAAAATTATAAGCATGATGCTCATAATGAAGCTATATAATGAAGTGGATGAAATGAATTAACAAGAAAAACCTGCATTATATAATGTTAAATTGAGCCAAACTCACAGAGTAAGAAAAGGTTGGAATGGGAGGGTCTCTTACAAGCAACTTTTAAAAACTTTCCCTGCCCCTAGTTTGCTCAGAGAATTGAAACATGGTAAGGAGTGCATCAGGTTGATCCGTGGCCTCCAAAGATATGTACAAGTTCGAATCCCTAAAACCTGTGAATGTCACCTAATATGGGAAAAGGGTTTTTGCAGATATTGACACCTAGGTCTTTTGGTCTCCAGAACCGAGAGAATTAATTTCTATTGTTTTAAGCCACCAAGTTTATGGTGCTATAATTTGTTACTGTGGTTCTAGGGTACCAACATAAAGATTTACAAAGGGTAACACATTTCCTTCATCAGATTCCCAACGTCCGCCATCCCAACCAAACTTTTAAAACATTTTCATTCTGTATATTCAATTATCACCTGAAAGTTTTCAGAGGCCAAGTTACAGAAGCCTTTTGATGAAAAGTGAGAAGCTGGCTACTTGGCCATAACCTTGGCACAAGAATGAATTTGGGCAGAAACCAGATTGCTTTTTTTCCTCTGATGCAGAAGGGTCTAGAGGAGAAGATGCGGAGAACATATTTAGTCTACAGGGCACCATAGGGAGACAGCCTTACTCACTACAGTCTAGTTTTTATTGATGAAGCCATCAAGATGTGGCACTTATCCCGAAGAGTTTGACTTTCAACTCACTGCTATAATTTAACCTCAAACAGAAGAGAATGTGCAATTAAAACAAAATGCTGATGTGGAATGGAAATAAAACACCTCCTTTAAAACAAAATCCAATGCTTATTATGGGATTGAAAAGGGAGGGATTACTCCAGAATTTGAAGTTGGAACAAAAATGATGACTGTCTATATTCAAAGAAATCAATTTTGCATATGTTAAAGCAGATTGAAATCATTTCAGTTTTTCATTTGGGTAAAATGTAGAATTCTCATACTCTCATTGGCACTTTGTAAGATGACAGTATTTCCTTAAAACAATCCTTTGATTATTTTTCTACCAAGATAACAGGAAAAATATTCTATCAATACTATATAAAATGTATGTATGCATCTAGCAAATGGCATCTGAAGAGGTTCTAAGTAACTGCCGTGCTATGCCCTCAGAGTAAGATGCTCAGGTACTCACACTGTACTTCTAGATACCGTTGGGTCTGTAAGTTTCCGGTGACCGCAGGGTGCTCCACTTGACAGATCACTGGGACCCCGTCATCCTCCTTGTTCACCTTTAGCATCAGCTGACTGGTCACAGTGTACATGTCCGACCACTCTTCCACCTCCGATTTGCCTAGCAGGAAAGGAAATGTATAAACAACCAGAGATGGTAGAAAGAATTTGCATCATTCAAGTTTTAAATTCTCTTCTTTCCTTCCAAACTCAACAATACTATTTTAACAAATATAATGGAAGTTACTTGGAGAAGGGAAATCTGTGAATGGATAACTGATAAAAAGATTGTTTCCCTTAAGTTCCTATTTTTCAAACTTACAGAATCATATTTAAGATATATTCAACCCCAAGCAGTATACAGTATTTTTACTGAAGTATATTATATGCTTCTTCTATCTCAAGCCCCCTAAAAAGTCAGCAAAAGGTTGAACCACTTTGATATCTGGCTGTTCCAAGGTATTTGGAAGGAGGAAAAGCAAAGCATTTTTCACCCTTACAACTATCTGAACTTGAAATATCTCTGAGGCTGTCATGCCATTTAAAAATTTCAGGACGTCATCCAAATCCCCTAAGTAATTCAATCAGCAGTGGAGATATAAACAACCCTTTTTGCCTACCCCCATCATCAACAATTAAGAGGGAAAGTAACTAAATGGATTTACATAATTGAAATTGTAATTGAAATGTTTAAACTCGGAGACTTCTGGAAGACCACAGAAACGCAGTGGCAGTGGGCTAGAGCAAAGTAAGATACAGGGCTTTGGGCCAGATGGGAGACACGTCCAAGAACACCCAGAAAAGCAGGCAGGAGGCTTCCGGATAGAATGAATAGGCTGGGGCAGTCCCTTCCTGAACCCAGCACTCCCAGGAACATGGCATAACATTAACTTTCTTTTAATGTTTTGTACTTATCGGTACACATTTAATGGCTCAGTTCACTTAGACAGAAAAGCAGAGGGGAAATGAGAAACTCCTTCCTTCTAAAACCATACCTAGGAAATAGGAGATTTAAACAGAACAAGCTTTTGGAAACTTGAGCTGTTAGATATAGATTTCTCTGTTTCCATATATAGATTTCTGTATCACCTTTCTAAAAGGGTTTATTCTTTTCTTCCTCACACTGTTTATTTATTTAACAAGCACACAGACAGCACTTAAGTTGGCCCAGGGGCTAGCTTAATAATGCTTTACAAATATTCACTCATCTCACTTTCATAAGAATCCTATAAATTTATATTATTATTTTAGAAGAAAGTGTTAGGCCCACACTAGTTTTCAGTCAAATGACCAGAGTAGGTCAGTCCTTTCTTTAGAATACTACTTGGAGGTCAACCTTGAAAAGAAAGGAATCTGAACACAACATATGTGAAAGGCTTAGGATAAGTGGCAAAATATGGTCCAACAGGGTACAGGCTGTCTCCTTTCTCTGATGCAACAGCTGAGGTGGCAGGGATTGAGGACTTAGGAATCAAACCTGGGATGACTCAATACTGAGGGAGAGCCAACTGCAGCATGACTAAAGGAATCACTTGCACTGCTCCTACAAAGGCAGAGATGCAAAAGAACAGACCAGTGAATTGGGCATCTCAATTATAGGTTTCACAAGGGATGTGGTTACTGTAAATTCATAACTAGGATAAAATTCTTTGTCTACTTAGTGCAGCCTCTCTGGAAGGAAAGCACATGGTCAATACAATTGATAGTGCAACAGATATTAGAATCTGGAATTTTTAAAAATGCTTATAAAAATGTGGGGTTTTGACCCAGTCTGAGCCACCACAAAATGCAGGGATTTTGTGTAATGAGAACTGAGGTACAGAAATGGTCTGAGCTGAGGGAATACCCCCAACAGTGGCTCTTCTGGCATGAAGAGTTCTAATTTTCAGGTTTAGTTTTCTCCAGGCATCTGAATAGAGCAACAAATCTCACCATGAACCCTCAAATCACACGAGAGGGTATGAATTAGAACAATGCTGTTATGCTTTGGCCTCAGATGTCTTTAGTAATTGATTATGAACCATACCTAAATAAATACTTTCATTTAAGGGGCATGTTTTGCACCTGTTCCTAATTTTCACAAAGGCATACTTGCTAGAATCAAGGACCAACTAACAACTTCAGTACAGGGTGGTTTCTCTGTTACCTTTGAGCTCCTTGTTCCCTTTGAACCATCTAATAGTTGTGGCTGGTTTGCTGGCCATGGCAGTGCAGTTGACTTCAATCTCCTCGCCTTCCACCGCAGTGTCTTTCTGGATATCGATCATCAGGTTACGTGGTGGGACTGCAGATTAAATATATGTGCTTTGTAAATACAAAATCCATTTCTAGACATATTCTTCCGTTCATCAGAAACTAGCACTACTGCTATCAAAAAAGGGACAAAATAGTGGACATTCCTGATAGGAATTTAAGACAAACCATCACAAGAGGAGAAAATGCCTCAGGCAGAGGGAAGAGAAGGGCAAAGCCATCACTAGATAAAATGAGTTATGCAAGATCAGTTAATTTTTCTCTTAAATGTGTCATATAAAATGACCAGTTTTCCACTATTAAATCATCACTAACAATGCTATGATATAGGTATTAGTTATTCATCAGTCATTACAAAATTGATCAGAAAACAGATATAAAACAAGGAGGAGTACACATTATTGAAATTACTGTCCTTACCTGGAAGCCCCTGAAAGTAATACTTCTGAACTCAATGCTTGGATTTCAATCTTCATATAAAAGATTTCAAAGTCTATCAACAAAGGTCAAAAACTGGGGGTCCCTCAAAAGAATCACTCACCATAAACATACACAGAAAAATTACATCAGGACCAGTTCTATTTAATTAAACAGAGTCACAGAAATCCAGAATGTAATCATGTTCTCCAATGGATGGCATATTAATAAAACCCTTTGAATATGAAGATGCAATAATAGAGGGAATGCCAATTCTCTTGAAGTAATTTTCCATATTCTGAATTCCAATGGTCCTGATTTTAGAAATGTAAGCAGATTTAAATAGAATTAAAACTACTCTTCTATAAGCACATTAAAGATATGTGTGATAAAACAGCCAAAATAAAAGATTTTAGGGCTGACATACTAAATATTGAACCAAGAGTATGAAGAATATGATGGTGGTGATGATGACGGGAGTTTTTTTGGTACTGGGGATTGATCCTAGGGGTATTTAACCACTGAGCTACACCCTAGGAGCATATTTTGCATCTGTTCTTTTTATTTTTCATTTTGAGGCGAGGTCTTACTAAGTTGTTTAGGGCCTCACTAAGTTGCTGAGACTGGCCTCAAATTTGCAATCCTCCTGCCTTAGCCTCCTGAGTCACTGGTATTACAAGCATGTGCCACTGTGCCTGGCAGTTTTTCTTTTCTTCTTCTTCTTCTTTTTTTTTTTTTTTAATGAAACTAAGTTGACAGTGAAACTTCATAAGGTGCAACCTTACCTCAAGACTGAACCTCTTGAAATAAAAATCAGTAAGAATATGGAATTCAGTAGTGTGAATCTAAGAATATGTGTCCTGACCACCATGAATAAGCAAAGACAGTTCTGAGACTTATGATTAATAAGTTTCTCAACTCAGAAGAGAAACAAGAAATTAAATATGTATAAACATGCCATCCCGATGATCAAGTTGAATAATACATCTCTGATACTGCTTCAATAAATTATAGGATTAAACCACATATTTGGGATTTCCAACTGTTATAGTCCAACATGAAAATTCTGCCCACAGGAAGACTTTTATACTGAATTGGAGCAATAGAAAATTCTTATAGGGAATGATGAAAAAGGAAAAGTAAAGTGATTTGTTGCATATATTTCTCAGCAAGATAGTGTACTGTGGTGGGGGAGGGGAACAACAACTAAAGCAAAAGCATTCCTCTTTGTTCCCTGTGTACAAGGAAAACAACATATTTGCTCAATTGGACGTGATGCTAATGTGATATGGCCCAAATGAGTAGTTAAGCATGGCAAAGAACTACCCTAGCTTACATTTCAAGAAAAAATAAGCAAAAAGAGGGATAATTTAACATCCAATTTGGACCTGCACATCTGCCAGCATTTTAAGAGACACAGAAAGGCAGTGACAAAAGAAATGATATGACTTCAGCTGGTGGTATCCTTAGCATAGTTTATCTCCTTGGTGATGATCAGGTCAGTTACACATTTTTATTCCATATTCCTAAGCAGTGGATAGGGGATACACAGAAATGTTTCAGACCAGCAAATACTACTACATTCTGAGTGCAGTAGACATGAATTTTTGGGGAAAAATGTCATTATTAGATGGAATATCAGTGGAAAAGACTGTCCAAGGCTAAAGGAAACAAGACCTTGGCAAACAAGACCGTGATAACGGATACTAAAAAGAGATAAGAAGGAAACAAGGTCCTCTCAAACCAATGAAGGAATGAAAGAGAATAGATGGTCCATTCAAGGTCCAGGCAAAAACAAAACTAGAGTGATAAAAACAATTTTTGATATGGGTACAGCAATGGCTCCCAGTGAGAACTGAAAGTGAGTAGAGTAACCGAGGGGACATGAAGCTAAAGAAGGGCTCTCTTAGGATGTGATGGAGGCAAAGGGCTAAATCTACTAGCCATCCTGGAAATCCCCACAGAATGGGGTAGATCTGATTCCACTTTATTACTCTGGGAGAAATGCCTTGGTGATCACTCTGTAGAAATCTGGGAATGTTTTGGATGGAAACAGATCCAGGAGTTGTTAAAAGACTCTGCTACAGAGACTGCTAAGGCTCAGAAGAGTTTACTTAGCCTTAAATGTAGTCTGTCAGACAGCTGCTTCCTGGCCTCCTGGTGATCTTGCCTTTCTCTTGTCTCTTCTTGTTGAGCCTCATACACCTTAATACACTTACCCCAGGCTCCACCTAACCCCCATCAGCTGTTCATCTCCACTGTTATCTCTTGGTGGAAAGTCTTTAACTCACTCTATTTGGTCATAAAAATGGTGGCATGTTCTTTCCACATTATATCTGTTGGTTCAAAGAAGAAAAAGAAAAGGGGCAGATGTAGATAGGACAGAGAAAAATCAGCTGGGTCCTCTCGATGTTGTTTGGGGGTTGAGAGCTTGACTGGCAGGGAGGTTCCTATCTGGGATTCTTATTGTTTGGTATTACCCGGTTAATTACTCCTCTGCTACAACGGATGCGCTCTGAAGTTCTATAACCTTGAGAGGGATTCCTGTACCAATGTTAGATTTTAGGATTACCTTCCTAAAGAGCTGACATCATCTTTAACTTTATGGCCAAGGTAAAAGTGTAGAAAACTTCAAAAATCAAGTATAGAAAAATAAAGAACTTACTTGTTGTTGAGCTCATCATTTTGAGAAATAGCTGAATGATTTTTCCCACATCCTAAATAGTTTTCTCAAGACTGTGACCAGTATTTCTAATCTTTGCTAAGATTGGAAGAAATGGGCAAGTATAGTGGGAGTTGTTTGATTTACAAATATAAAATAAAATCTGATAACGTGAGTCATGATGGATTTTTTGATATTATAACTGTGACTTCTCTCAGAGTTTTTTTTTTTTTTAAGAGCAAGAAAGCTTTGGAAAATATAATGAGGTTGTTTAAATCTGTCTTTATGAAAAAAGAGGATTGGACAAGGAAAAAAATTTATTTTGGTCTATTAATCCTACCCTGTTTTTCCTTTAACTTCATAATGTTTATTCCAATACAAAAGAGGTTAGTAAAGTATAAAAATCCATTTATAAGAAAAATGAATTAAAACTGCTGTTAACCAGAGAATACACTTATACATGGTCCACTAAACAGACACATTTAGTAAAAACTGCCTGCAGCCATTAATGAAAATAACCAAAGATATATCTAAGGAGGTACATATAGATGAAAACCTGAATGAAAACCACAGAGGAAAATACCAGAAAATAGCAATGAAATGTCAAGGTCCTTCTTAACTAACCTCAAATCTATAAGAGTACTAATTATAAACATTACGCCTACAACATTTAAAAAAATCAGCAATATCAAGATGAGTCACATTAATTACAACAAAAGAGTCTTAAACCTGATCAGCACATGAAATCTCACTCTAAGACCCTTTAAAATAATTAGGTTCTCCTGTTCCTGGAATCTTAAGAGTGAACACTAATCTTAGAAAGACAGGATTGTAATAATATTAGCTACTATTATCAGTAACTACATTAATCTTGGAGCAGTGTTATTTTCTCTCACTCACCTCTTCTCATGAATAGTAGCATAAAGAGTCCTACACTGTGTTCTGGAGAAAAAAAAAACAAACTCATCACAAGTAGAAGGAATGAATGAATATTCTACAAGGCAGCCAGATCCATGCAAGGTATCACAGGAGAATTTTCAGTTTTTGCACAGATGAGATTGAAACATAATGGTAACTATGAAGTAGCACGGATAACATTAACAAATACCCATGTCTATACGTTATAATTATGCTGAAATTTTTGCCAAATGTGTCAAATAACTAATAAACATATGCACTAAAATGTGCAACTTCAACCTATCAAGAAGCTTGACAGCTGTGTAAGCATATATGGAATGCTTTTCAGAGAAACATAGATAGTAACGAAGATGCTAATACATCATTCTTCATTCATTATAATATCTGAAAACTCTAAACCTTACGAGGAAGGTTTGACTATCTGAGTATCAGAGGAAATTGTCAGATTTTTGGAATATGAAAGACTCAAACACTGATGACAACAATTTTACTCTGTCAAGGATGCCTAGAGTAAATTCAATGGAAAGAATATTAAATGAATGCATAATATCTGCAAAGAGAACATTGACTAACATTACTTTCAAGTATCTTTAAGTTAATGCTTCTATAAAACACAAGCAGGAACCTATTACTTCTAGAATAATGAGACCTCCAAAAAGATTATAGGCACAATGCCTCTCAAAAATCTAGTGCTGGTACATTGACTCCCAAGCCCAGGGTGTATTCATAGTCAATCTAGTCCAATACAGTGGTTCTGAGACTGACAGGCAGTAACTACTTGCCAATGACCAGCTAGACTCCTGAAAACCAAAGATGTGCACCTCCAGGAAAGAAAACTTTGAAACGGCAGCATTCAGGACTTAACTGAAAACAGTCTAACCCAGAAGGCACAAAGGCTGTGAGACAGAATCATCAAATCTGTTTTGAATTCTCAGATTCTTGATTGTCACTGAATACTTTGTAACCTGGGCAGGATGACTAACCTGCTATTTTTCTTCTGTGAAATTAAGATATCTATACTTCCTCCATACAGTAAAATATTGTGAAAATCCAAAATGCTATTAATATATTTCCTTTCATTGCTATCAGTTTTGTGGAAATGCCACAAATGGTCAATGGATGGCTGGTCAATTTGAAGTGTATGCAGCTAATGAAGCAGGGCAACAAGCAGTCTATTTTCAAATACTTCTACACAAGTGGACAGACAGTTTCAAATGCACATTGGTGAATTGGTATATCTGCAAAAGACCAAAATAATCACCCCAGCAAAACTTCCATGCCTTCTATTTCTGCAGGTCTAATATGGATCAAAACTAATAATGACAAGTTTGTGCACCTGAAAAGCCATCACTAAACACAGACAACATTAGAAACTGTATGGCCAGATTTCCTGACTTCCTAAAATCAGTATTCCTCTTCTCAAGGGCATATATGTAAGTTTTGGGAACATGTTTTAGCTTAATGAATAAAAAAGTATTTTTCCTTTATAGCTGTGTTTAAATAAAGTAATGAGGCAGAAGCTCAATAGGTATATCCTTAAATACATATATGTGCACACACACCAAGCAAAAATGTCCTTCATATTTATCTTTCCTCTTTAATCTTCATATCATTACACCGAAAAGCTGCAGTCTGCCGCTTCAAATAGACTTTGATTCATCATCTTCCCGAAGGTGTAAATCAGAGATCTTGCCTTGTGCTACAGTGTATGTCCTTGAAATTTCAGTTTCAAAAGTCCAGATCAGCTGGTGTTATGCACTGGAGTACACGTTTGTCTAAAAGGTGACTAATTCAGATCACCTTCAGTATACTAGGATCTGCTAACTATATCAAAATAAAAACACAGAAACCTGGCTACTGGGATTTTGCTGAAAATCACAATCTGGTGGATCATAAATGAAGATACTCAGCTCACTAGAGATGTACCTAGAAGCCTGGCAATGGTGCTTTGATTGTTCATCAGTTAAAGAGCTCTTAACTCTTTTATGTCCAATGATTGCACTTTGTGGCAAAGTATATGTTCACAAGGTATGACTTTTTATAGTATAATCTAGAGTATAAGCAATAAACAAGGCAATAAGTAAAGTCGAAGAAAAGGAGAGCAACAATATTAAAACGAGGATATAACTCAGAAGAGAAAATCATTACGTGGATTCCATAATAGCTCTGCCATGGGGTACAGATGTGAGAGCCCATCTTTCCTTCTGCACAGAAGCAAAAAAATCCTGGTAGTTGGAAGCAATGACATTTCATGTGGTGAGTGATTCATTTGAGGGCTCTAAATTCTCTTGATCTTTGCTTCTAAAGCTTGAGGTTTGAAACCCAAGAGCAGGTGGAATCTATAAAGACTGCTGATTGCCATTCCTTAGAACGTTTGGTAAAATAGGCTATTTTTAAAATTCAGCAAGATGGGCGGTGATTCTTCCTAAAACAAGTTGGAACAGTGAAATCCACCATTAACCTTCTCTTTGCTGCTGGAAGCTATTTTTTAGTATGGGCCAGCCCACTCTGCTTCCCAAGGTGAACCCGTGCATTTCTTACCCAGGACGGTGATGGTGGTATAACTTTCCTGTGGGGGGTCAGTGTAGAGCTGGCAGAAGTATCTCCCTTCATCAGAAATGGAGACATTTGTCAACGACACCTTGAGTTCACTGCTAGAAAAATTCAGCAACTGAAACCTGCTGTCCTTCAGGGCTGTGAAACAAAACACTGAGTTAGTGACTATGAAAAGACAATGGCAGTCTATTTTCCTTAATTTAGGGAGGAAAAAATCAGATGGCTAAAAAGGCAGCCACAGAGTGGAAAAATTCATTAAGCCTTTCTTTACCTGTTGGGTACCATTTTGGGTTTCTGCAGTAATTGCATACAGACAACTCTACCCAAAGAAAAGCCACACACACACACACACACACACACACACACACACACACTGGCACAATTCCAAGCACCATCAGTTTTTCAGCACTTGCTCATAATTGTTTTCAGTTTCCTATAAGAGATAGGCAAAAAAAAAAAAAAAAGGAAAGGGCATGTCCTGGGTCCTCTGACACTGGAAGCCAGCCCCTCTTAACCTTTAGGTACCAGAAATTCAGAAACTGAGGCCAACAAGCTTCTAAAAGGTCTCTAAAAATCTGAGGCTTTAAAAAAAAAAAAAAAAAAAAAAGCAGTTTCAAATTATGAAAGAGAACTAAAATTTCATTAGTAATAGTCTCAAAGTGAAATCTAAGAAAATCACTTCAAAAATTATTTCAAGTTCCTAAGCCAGAACTTGGATCCATCTTAATTTATTTGATATGATTTAAGATGGAGTTATCAAATGTGGACAACCTAGGGCCACAGAGGCCATAAACTCATCCTGCAGTTTTCTAGCTATCTTCAGCTTCACAGTTTGAAACTGATTAGACAACATGCAGGAAATCAAAGTCACCACAAAAGTAGTGTATGTGGGCTTCTTATTTATTTCAAATGTTCTCTTCTAAAGTCCTGTTAATTTGGGCAAAGGCTAGCTTAGCCTATATTTTTAAAAAATCTGGTTTAAGAGTAAGAAGCTGGCTTCTCCTTTTAACCTCTCTCATCTGTGTAAATGTTTCTTAGATTTATCAACTCTTTCTACAAGTCATGAATGTCCTGCAATATTGGGAGGAAAGGGGACAAGTAGCCAGAAAGGGATATCCTGGATTCTGCTTTGGTCAGACACTAATACTCTCAAGTAGAATTTTCCCAAAGACTTAACTCTTGCTTTTGCCAAGCCCTGACATCCATTTGAACTATTTCTGTTACACATAATTTAATTTCTATAAATGGCTTTTATTATATTATATTTGGAAAGATTTCAGCATATGGCTACCCCCACATACAAGAGGCTATGGTGAGATCTGGTTTGTCGATGCAAGCACAGATTGCCTTAGAAACTTCAATCTTCAAACCAAACAGATTACCTTTCAGAATGCTGTATTTTCCTTGCCTTACCCTATTTGAGTTGTTTGTGTCAGTTAAGTATTTGGGACTCAATTGCAATTCACCTTGAATTACTACAATCAATTCCTATTGCAAAGTAAGACTGCCTTACTTTTAAAAGGGACCATTCAAGGTTTCTATTAAGTAGAAAGATTATGATTGCCTGTCTCTTCTTCCCTCTAAAGAATTGACTCAACTTTAAGCATCTAACATTAAATTTTAAAAAAAAGGTGGCCTTAGCAATCTCTTTATCAAGACAACATGGAGGAAAAAAAAGTTGTTGGCTAATACAGTAGGGATGGAAACTTACGCCTGAAGTCCCTGAAATAAATGGTCTGCCTGTTGGGGTTCAGTAGTTGAATCACAGAGTCGTCACTCTTATTGACTTGGCAGCTGATCGTTGCGACTTCTCCCTCTATCACTGTCACGTCTTTCGTAAACAAATTCTGTCCATCACCTTAAAAAAAGGGGAGGAAAGAAAAAAGTCAGAAAAAATCTCCATTAATTAAAATTTGGGCTCACATAATATGAGAAATAAGAAATGAGAAGTATATTAGAGCATGAACATAAGTAGCAACATTTGGTATGATGGTTCTAATACTTTTCTCTATAGTTCACAAAATGAGTCTACTAAAGTAAGGCAGACACAGGAATAAAATACAACTGAGCCTGGAACCCACACATTCAAAAGCTGTAATGCTGAGGTGTCGGCCTTCAAGACTTTGCACCTTTGATTGGTGTAAGCTGATGAGGTCTGAGGAAGGTCAGAGCGCTGGCTTTTGTCATGAGCTGACGCTCTCACAACTGGAGGAGGGAAGATACACATGGTTGACCCTAGCTCACACACCCTTGAGCTAGGTAAGCTATCTGGTCACTGCACAGAAAACCCAAGGAGCCATTTGACAGAAGTAGGTAGGAAGGTTCAACAAATAATCTTGTCTTGTTAGTGGATGTCGACATTCCCAATGTACAGGCAGTTCATTTAGTCATTGTGTGGGAGTGAGAACTGAACTGACTATGACTCTTGGGATCTCAATAAAATCTATGGAAGGCTTACATAAGTTGAGTTTGTTAGTCCGCTCTCAAAAACTCATACCTTCAGGACTCACTCAAAGCCCCAGGCAGCCCTGAACCCATGACCCTTTCTGTAGATCACCCTCTCCAGCTGTTTAGAAAATCTCTTTCAGAACATGTCAAAAAGTCAAGGGTTTCAGATCCATGGATATATGGCTTATCTCCAGATCTGCTCTAGTTTGTTGCTTCTAAGATTAGTGACAGCAGCCAAGGCACCTCATAAATGTCCTAAATGATCCACAGCACAGGTAGGAGAAGAGGAGAGTTCCAATTCAGAAGCAAAAGATGAAGCAATTGTTGAGAGTTCAATTCTGCACCCGGCATAGCAGGGGAGAAGGGAGTATATGACAATGTCCTAGGCTTCGAGAAGCTGCAAGGTGGGTAAAAACTGACACCTAAATCCTACTTACAGAACAAGAAAGAATAGTATCGGCAGTAGAAGCAATGGTCAATCAGGAAGGGGGAGAGATTGCTTTTTAGCTGTGTGATCTCAGGAAAATTATTTCAAGTTCCTAAACCAGTTTCCCATCTGCAAAATGGGGACAGTAATGAAGAGCTATCTCATAAAGCTGTTATAAATATAAAGCACTTATCACTGTGTCTAGCTTCTCATAAAACTAAATAAACAGTAGCTGCTATCATCATCATCATCATCATCATCATCATCATCATCATCATATCATCATTGTCATTCTCTAGATGTCAAATCCAAACTTTTATTAAACCATTATTACGTGTGAGGAGTAGTGTGAATACAAGAGTAAATGCTCTCGGTTCCAGCTTTCAAGCTCTTATGTATCAACTCAATGTAGCTTATTTATTCCTTAAAAAAAACATTGTCACATTAAGAAACAAAGGTCAAAGATAAATACTAATCTAAAAAAAATGTAGACAGAATAAATAGAGATGCAACTAGAATAAATGGAGGATTTCCACCTGCTATCGTATTTCTGCTGAAAGATTCTTTTTTGGCAGGACACAGTGGGAAAATGTGAGAAGGGGTGTCTAAGATGGCTTTAAGCCAAATCCTCCTAGAAACAGACCAGCCCCTGGCAGAGGATTAGAAAAGAGGAAACTAGAAGGATAAGGGGGAAAAAATTATTAGAGCCACAGATAAACAAAAATTCTTGGTGCTTGAGGAGCAAACCAAAATGAAACCCGACCTTGAGCTCTATGATCCAGGGAATTAACCCAGGTGTGAGGATGCAGGCCCACAGGGCCTGTAGACAATGAAAGGGTAAATTTCCCTTAGCTGGATCCAGCAGTGGAAGCTTAGGGACTGAACCATGTTACAGAATAACAACAAAGAAAAAAAAATGATCAGAAAAAAAGGGGATGAGATGCTTTTTAAAAATTTTTCCCTGAGTGGGTTACTATGACAAACACAGAATTCAGAACCAAGCTGGAGGGAATAGTTTATTCCCAGATTTGAGAAAAAAACAAGAAAGGAATTCCTGCCAATCAAGCAAGCTTTTCAAGGTGGACAGGATGGCCCTGGAAAAAGTGTGGACAGAAAGGACATCATCTTTATATTCTCAGGGTAATTCAATCTAGTAAAAAAATTAAGAAAAAATTAAACTGCATGATTCAAGTGCTAGGCAAGCCTTTAAAAATGGGGACTTGCCTTCAGGAAACAGAATACAAATGGGAACCTTACTTCGGTTGTGGGAGGATTTCTTGTATCTAAAGAAAGTTTATTAGCAACACAAATAAGAATCTTCCACTTACAAAATGTACGACCTCAAAGGCATTAATCCCTTCAACAAAAACAAGGCCTCACAGACGCTAACTACTATCTTGAAGCTAATGGGACTTAAAGCCACTTGCAATTCAATTAGGCACTAATAGAATAGTTCCTGTGGAAACAACCATATGCTTTAATTTTAGTTTCTTACTAGAAATCCTAAGGCTGGTATATTCTGTAAGGGACATACAGTATTCATATTAAGACTATAAAGCATTTATATAGGAGATGGAAGCAGAGAGGAGTTGACTATAACTTTACATTTTAAGCAATGAGGGTAATAAACAGAACCAGAGGCATTTCTGTGTGTTTTTTATAAAGCCTAAACATTCTTAATTATTATTTATAACTAAAGACCGTACCCTTATAATGTGTAATTACTGAGCAAATCATTCAGGTAAACTTTTCCCATCTGTAATTTTTTGCCCTTGCTGCCTTCAACAAATTCATGGTGATGTTGTCAACATTACTGTATTATTTTTTTGAAATTATTAAGACCAACCTAAAATCTAGTTTCTCAGAAAATGCCAATTTCTAGCTGTGTTAACATGGTTCTAATGCCAATGCTAAAAAATTATAAGTGATAATGAAATATTTTGCTGAAAGATATCAGAGTGCTTTGCTTGATGGTGGTGGCCCAAGGATGTCATTCTATAAAAATCACCAATAAATTATACGGGTCAGCTAGATGGCAGTTATATTAAATAGAGCTCCATACTTTGAGGCACCATAAGATGGCTGCAATGGGATAATAATGACCTATTTATTTGAGGCAAAGGAAGTGAATGACAGTGATGAAAATATGGTATGTGTGTCAGTGCTCTTAACTGCCTGAAGCCTTTATGTAAAAATAATTTCTGCTCACATCCTCAACTATTTCTTCCAAACAGAAGGGTGCACTGTGACTTGATAAATTTCCCCTTGAAATAGATATCATGACAATTAGGTTGTTATAAAATACAATTTGATGTGTAGTAGAAGTATAAAAACAGGCTACTTTGGTGCCTTTCTTAAAAACCCCATTTATAAAACATTTTTGATTTTCTCAAGCTCAATTAGTGAATATACTGTCAAGGCAGAAATAGCACATGTTCTGGGCAAAAGAAATCAAATAGGCACAATATACTGTGGCCATTAAATAAGGCTATTAGCTGCAAGGTAATTTATTTTAAGGGTGGAACAATGTCTGGCATGTATAGACACCTTTGACAGCTAATTGGTATATATGGGTGAGGTTTGGGAGTGAGAATCTGGATTTCAGTTTATACCAGCAACTGTTATGTTATAGGGAGTATATTCCCCATATCTTCCAGACTCGCCCCAATTTCCAAAAATAAAACTCTGGCAATGGAGAGGCCTATTCCCTCATAAGCAAGTCTCCTGTAGCAAACTGGAAGTTGCTAGGCCATTTATCACAATCAAGAGAGAGATTATTATCTAAAAAAAGGTAAAATTATTTTAATGATTAGCAATGACCATTACTGCTGAGTTGGAGTAGGGGTAGGGGTGCAGTTGGCATATAAATCCCCTATTAATTCAATCTTAAATTAACATAGCTCATGGATTCTCTCCTAAAACCTCATTTTGTTATCAACTCCATTTAGATGGCATTGCATAAACTGGAGTCTATTCAAACAACAACATGCCCTCCCTTAAGGAGGTGATGGGGAACATCTTAAAAGCAAGAATTGGAAACAGTCAATGGGGAGGAGAGCAGTTATCCGGTGCTGAGCGCTGTGCTCACAGCTGCATTACATACTTTCTCCTTTTAAACTCTTGGAATTTTTAATAACCCCACTTTAAAGACGAAAAACCCAAGACTCAGAGAGATTTGAATAAGTTGCCTGATACAATTCAGCTAAGGGGCTAGCTGGTGTTTGAACTCAGTTCTGCCAGGTTCTCCCGCCATAAAGCTTGTCCTTTTTACCAGCCAACATCAGGATTGGGTGCCAAGGTTCTACTGGCTCTGCCTTGGAAAATTTACTTGTTTTTAAAGAGGGTTATTTCCCTATGAGCAACTTCTGATTTTTTTTATTTCCATAATTTATCCAGAACACAATTACACACTTCAAGATGAGAGAGGAACTGTCCTGAATGTAAAACACCTTGTTTACTACTGCTTCCTTCTTTCAGTGCTCAGCACACTCTGCCCCCAGAGAAAGCCTTTATTACCAGGGCATGGCGGGCATTTGCCAGCACTGAGAGCTCTCGCCCCTGCTGCCTGGCTGCTAATAAATAAAGCACTTCATTTACACCAGGGGAGTCTCTCCAGTCAAGTCCATAATAAAAGGACAAGTCATAGTTAAAACAGAATTCAGTTTATGCTATGGCAACTACGTAAACTCTTACTGACACCACGGAGCACCCGTGACACTAAACTAGGAAGACAGTTTGCCCAGAGAAAGCAAATAATGTTCCTGACCTGCTCCTTCAGTAGCAAAGTCACGTCAGAGAAACTTTCTCCCCCTTCCTCTGCTCTATGGAAGACGGAACCTAACATTAAATCAGCACAGTGTGGTCTAAACAGGAAGAACTCAAACCCAAAATACAGATGGCTAAAAAAGGAAAAATCATCCTGCTTTTGATCAGTGTAGTTAGTACTTTAAAAAATTCCACTATAGTTCTTGAAATTTACTCAA